GGTCTTAAACGTTTCTAGGGGAATTGAAATAAATTCAATTCGAAACTTGAATATAGCATTTTGGTCGAAAATTCAGTGCGGAATCCGTGCGCGGTGACCTCAGGGGTCTGTGGTTTTCTCTCGGCCAAAAGCAGACAGAAAACGCGGTACGCCTAAACGACTGCAGTGCGAGTATGCGCCTAACGCCACTCAGTGCTACCAATACTTAAAAAATACTGCTAAACAAATTCAAAAACCCACTAAAATCCACTAAATTCTAACCAACTTCACCTCAGTTTCAATTTACCCCCTAAAACCTACAATTGTAATTTTTTTTTTCTCTCTAAATTTAGGAAGAAAACTGCTAAGTTGGCATCCGTGACGCCACTCCAATTGATAACGGTTCAATTAATTAACTTGGAATCACAAGTAAATGCCAAAAAGTTATTACTTGCCACGGTATTTACGTGGAGGGAAAATTCTTACACATTTTTACGCCATCCGCCAAATTCGTACCGTGCGATAAGTACTAAGTTGCAATTAAAAGCGTCAAGTTTTTGAAAAAAATTCTAAATAGAGCTCTTGGAATAATGAACCTCGATAAATTTTCCAACGATTTTCAAACGATGTTTTCCCTCACCGCTGTGCACGTGGCAAGTCAGCATTAAAATTTAAGTTTCATTGGTGCCGACACGAGGATTTGAACTCTGTCAGACACTCATGTCTGTCTCACTAGTCTCACTAGGTTTACATTGATTTACGGAAAATAACTAAAGGACATTCACTTTTAATGAAAGTACATGTTGCAACATTATTTACTATCAAACCGGTCGTGTTAAGTGAGGTAGTATAATGGAATAAAACCAGAATGGATTTATTCCATTAAAATTTTATAAAATTCAAGAAATTAATACTGAGTCATGTCCGTTAATGTTTTTATTATTAATCAGATAATTCGTTTTTAATTTAGATTATTGTATTCATTCTGTTTTTTTGTATTGTAATAATGAAATTTATTAGTATTTTATAAGTTTTAATTAATGTCGATTTTTTTTTTCAATATTATTAATTTAATTTTAATTTATTTTTCTATTTGAATTTTTGCTTGTAATTATTTAATTTTTTTTTTCTCTTAATTTTACTGAAATTATTTGCTGTTAAATATTTTTTGCATTCATTGTTCTCGATTATTCTTATAATTAGCTGAAACAATGCTGTGTCACCTAAAAAAAATTATTTTTGTATTTGTATTTTTGCTTGTTATTCTTTAAATTTTTTTTCTTAATTTTACTGAAATTATTTGCTGTTAAATATTTTTGCATGAATTGTCTCGATTATTCTTGTATTTAGCTGAAACAATGCTGTGTCACCTAAAAAAGTACATTAAATCAGATTTTTTTTTGTAATCTTATTGTTTAAACGTGAAATGCATGTACTGCTGGTGTCCTTTAAATAAATAAATAGTATAAAAAATCAATGATTTTTTCGCAACACATTTGATCGCTAAAATTGAGATCTCTACTAGAGCATAATCCTCCACCAGACCAGACTAACCAGAGGCTAAATTTATAATAAATGTTGTGATTGTTTTAAAAATTGTTTATTTATTTCTTTGATACCAGTGTATCTAATAAGATGTCTATATGGTTCTCATTTGCCATTACGTTTACTGAGTTAATACCGAAAGTTTCTGTATTTTCATAAATAATACCAGATTCATATACATACAATATATAATGGTATACATATTATTTTACGTTAATTGTTATATAGGTATGCCCTTTAAAACACTTCCTCACTATTTACAAATTTTTTCATTTGTTGGAAACGTTTCACTCAATTTGAGTGAAACAATAGATACAGTCTTCACAAGGGAGCTTAGCCCATCGAACATTCAAGTGACACACGATTTTATAAATCTGGCAACAACAACGAAAAAAGAAAATCCCAAAATTAAAAAGTATAATGTTCACAAAGACTTAAATTTTCGAACGATGTAATTGCTTCTTTTACTGTAAGTGATGAGAAAGACAAAAAACTCAATATGATCCACGTCAATGATGTTTAATAATATAGAAGTACCCGGAGGACCGAGCTTTGCTCGGTTTGTTTTTTTTTTGGTAAATCGTGTATTTTGGAAATCACATTTAGATACAAATTACTGCGTAATGAAATATGCATATCTTACCGACGTAATAATAAGAAAATATGAACTGATGTTTTTCACAAAAGAAAGAACTTTAAAAAAAAAGGGAAAAAATAACAAAATAACAAATACACAAAAAATTAAAAATAAAGAAAGCAATGGTCTGGAATCGAAAAAAAGTAAAAAAAATATATGTGTAAATGATCGTGACGCGAACCACGGCCGTCTGTTTTGGGACTGCCCGATTACCGACCGAGCTATTATGACATCTTCCCTTGCGGCGAAATTTACCTTAGGACATTTTATAAAAATAAAACCTAGCTAGATCGATTTTTCACCCCCGAATCTATGCACATACAAATTTCATGAAAATCGCTGGAGCCGTTTCCGAGATTCCGATTACATATATATATAATCGTTTGTAGGATCGTTTAAAGGATAAGATATAGAAAGGTTTAAAAATTGTTCCGCTTTACATTATATGACGTAGTGTCATAATCTTTGTGTATAATATTATTGGATCCACGTATATCAAAGCTTGGGTACAACCGAACGCCCCTAGCTTCGATATACGAGTGATGGTCCACCGCTCGAGCGTTAATCTCCTGCGATTCCCTTCCCCCTCTACCCCGCGGGCCCTCCCGTCTCATCCCCCCACTAGCCCCCCCCCCTCCCCCCTTCAGGCGAGGACGCGCATGCTCACCGGTCGCACCGTCGTCGTAATCCGAAACTCTTGAATCAATAGAATCGTGAAAAGCTTTTTAATTTTTATTTATTGAATTAGTCATTTCCAGTAGAGTTGCCAACCATAATCAAAAAACCAATAACAACATATCCTCCTTTAATTTTGATAAAGGTATAGTTTATACTATTGAATAAAAATTAAGTATGTGAAAATACTCTATTTCCAATATTTACCGTGATGTATGACATAAAATACTTATATGCATAGTTACTGAACTATTATCTATACTTCTAAGTTGAAACATAATTAAAATACATAAATAAAAAATAGAATTTATATCAGATGCACTACCCCACAACAAATACCATACGATAAGATGCTGTAAAAATAACTAAACAAGTCTGACAGTGTCGAGATCTGTTACCTGCCTAACCTTCCTAATCTCAAAAACAGCGGAACTTAGCCTACTCGCAAGAGATGATACACCACCACCACCACTGGAGCTTTGAATCTATTGTAATCCCCCAAAAAACAGGAACTCGACGGGATTAAGGGATACTTATTTAATAATAAATTAAAACTTTGCCCTCTTACACTAGGAAGAGTAAAAAGAATACATGCAGTTTTTTCGGCATTTAATACCATATTAATTATGGTAAACCAGTGGAAGAACCGTCGTCATAATTTCAAAAAATTCGGTCAACCTTAAGAATGAGCAAACATCAGCAAATAGTTATCACCACACAACTCACTGGTATAAATGGGGAGATCATTTATATATACTAGAAATAATAATGGGCTCAAGATTGATCCTTGTGGGACACCCATTTTCATACGAGACCCTGCGGAGTTAACAGCATTTATAGATACTTTTTAAATTATATTACTAAGGTAAGAGGCAATGAGATTGTGTGTGACGCCACGAATACCATAATAATCTAGCTTGTGAAGGAGGGTTTGTGGTCTACGCAGTCGAAGGCTTTGAAACGGTCGCAAAAGACACATAATACATCTTGTGACCTTTCCCAGGCGTTATAAATATGTTTGATAAGTTCGACGCCAATATGCAGTTTTCCTCATGATGTTTTCATTTACCGCGGAGCACGTGACAAGTGAGCACTTAAAGTTAAAAACTTCATTGGTACCGGCACCGGGGATTGAACTCAGGTTGCTCGAGTACATTGAATTAAAGGCGGGCGCCCGGTCACTGAGCTATCACGGCTTATCACGGATTTAAAATTAGTTTTTCAAAAAATTTACTATATGTGTGAGTGCCGATATTCATTTAACATCCGGTGAATCGCCGAAAATGTGATAATTTGTCGTTTGATATATTCTGAAACCTAGCATCTTTGCGGGATCAATACTCGTATATGTGCTTGTATTATGACGTGTTTTCCCAGATTATAATAAGAAAAGAAGTTGCTTACTTATTTAAATTTAAATTGGGAAAGTAAAAATCAACTTCCAAAAATTCAGGGATAATAAAAAACTGTTAGTGTGTGCTAGAAGCAAAAATGAATAAAATTTAGAAAAATATCTTTATTTTCCAAATAATTTATTAATTCACTATTTGAAAAATGTCGAACATTATTTTTCTCAAAAACAGCTGGCAACCCTAAGTACCAGTCAGTTACTTTCATTATGATCCACGTATATCGAAGCTAGGGTACGACCGAACGACGCTAGCTTCGATATACGACTGAATATTCCGAGGGACGCTCCGGCGTAAGTCCGCTGATGCGCCCCCCCCCCCCTCCTACAGCGCGTTCCCTCCCGTCCCGGTATTTACCCCTCTTCCCCCTCACTTCCGTCCTCTCTCCCCTCAAACATGCGACGACGCGTCGTGAAATCAATAGAATAGAATTGCAAACTAAAAATGAATAAGCAAAGACACAAACATAATATTATTCGAGAAAAGAGATTATATCATTATTTGTCTGATGCATCAAGTATAATCCAGTGATTCATATATACATCTAGATTCATAGTTTCAGATGCAGGAGTAGGTAGACAAAAAACGCCCCCCATGCGTTTTTCTCTATGTCTATGCCTATGGTCTGGACTCATGATTCATAAAAACACGCACAAAGCGCGGAGCTTCCTTTTATAACAAATACATACGAAGCGCGGAGTTTCCAACACATAGCATTCACACACGAAGCGCGGAGCTTCCAATGCATAACGACCATGTGCGAAGCGCGAAGCTTCCAGCGCACAACATCTACACGTGAAGCGCGGAGCTTCCAATGCGTAGCAGCCATGTGCGAAGCGCGGAGCTTCAAACACATGACGCACGAAGCACGGAGTTTCCAATGCACAACATCTACACATGAAGTGCAGAGCTTCCACTGCGTGGCAGCCATGTGCGAAGCGAGGAACTTCAAACACATGACGCACGAAGCACGTAGTTTCTTTCCAATGCACAACATCTACACATGATCCGTGGAGCTTCCAATGCGTAGCAGCCATGTGTGAAGCGCGGAGCTTTAAACACATGACGCAGGAAGCACGGAGTTACCAATGCACAACATCTACACATGAAGCGCAGAGCTTCCACTGCGTGGCAGCTATGTGCGAAGCGCGGAGCTTCAAACACATGACGCACGAAGCACGGAGTTTCCAATGCACAACATCTACACATGAAGCGCGGAGCTTCCAACGCGTAGCAGCCATTTGCGAAAAACGCCCCCCATGCGTTTTTCTCTATTTCTATGCCTATGGTCTGGACTCATGATTCAGAAAAACACACACAAAGCACGTGCTTCCTTTTATAACAAATAACCGTACGAAGCGCGGAGTTTCCAACACATAGCATTCACACACGAAGCGCGGAGCTTCCAATGCATAACGACCATGTGCGAAGCGCGAAGCTTCCGGCGCACAACATCTACACGTGAAGCGCGGAGCTTCAAACACATGACGCACCAAGCACGGAGTTTCCAATGCACAACATCTACACATGAAGCGCGAAGCTTCCAATGCGTAGCAGCCATGTGCGAAGCGCGGAGCTTCAAATACATAACATTTACGCACGAAGCGCGGAGCTTCCAATGCGTAGCAACCATATGCGAAGCGCGGAGCTTCAAACACATTACGCACGAAGCGCGGAGCTTCTGTATTACTTGTTAAAAGAATTAGTTACGTAGTCAATTATTGTTTAAAGTTCAAATATCTTGTAAAGAACACAGTTTCACAGCCAAGATTGGCAAAACGAAAAAAGGGTCAAGGACAAATACTTCATTTTATGTAAAATTCGACATATTGTATTTTTAGTGCTGTTTCCATTGAGGCAGCAATGAGATATGACTGATACAAATTTGGAATTCGTTCCAATTAATTTAAATTAAACAACAAGACAACGGAGGCAATCTCAGGAACATTAACTATAAATAACTTAAATTATTGTAATAATTTAATGATTTATCTTTAATATAATCATTTATAAAAAAAAAATAATCAAAATCATTTATTTATCGAAATAAGAAATATACATTTCATTTATCGATCGTCATATTTTAAATCTACCACAGTTTCGTAATGAGATTTCTCCAACGGAGAAGAAACGGGCGAGAGAAACTCCGTAGGTATCCTCTTTTTTGTCAATTTTTTTTCTCAAACAAATACATATTTTTTTTAGATACAGCTTAGGAGCGATCATCTCATTCCCAGGGGTTATTATCTTTAATGTATTAATTTATAAGTTTTTCTTTAATAAATTTCTTAAACCTGTTAACAGATAGGCTTTGAACATTAACTAGGATTTTGTTGCAGAAGCGTATACACCGTCCCATGAACGAGTTATTGGCTATATGAAGTCTAGAAACTGGCGTTATAAGCTTGTGTTTGTTCCTAGTGTTTACATTATGTTCATCAATATTCTTATTCAAATTATTAATGTTTCTATGTACATATATCACATTTTCATAAATGTATTGAGAGGCCAAGGTTAAAATATTTATTTCTTTAAATTTCTCTCTCAGAGATGCATTCAAATTAAGAAGTTAAAAGTAAATTGCTCTTATGGCCCTCTTTTGCAAAATAAATATTGTTTCAACATCGGCTGCATGCCCCCATAACAAAATACCGTATGACATTATGCTATGGAAATAACTAAAACAAAACGATTCTAGCTGTATTTTCATCAGTCAGACATCTTATTTTCCTTACAGCATATGCTGCAGAACTTAGTCTGCTAGCAAGTTTGGATATATGGGGGCCCCATTGAAGCTTTCAGTCAAGAGTTATTCCTAGAAAAACAGTGGTATCTACAAGGCCTAATTCGTCCCCATTTATAAGTACATTGGCACCAGCCACGTGTTTAACATTAGGTGTCGAAAATTTTATACATTTAGTTTTATTGCCATTTAACAGTAAATTATTGGCATTAAACCAATGAACTATATCTGACATAGCATGATTTACCTCGTCAAGTGTTACAAAACGTCGCTTAATTTTAAAGATTAATGAAGTATCATCGGCAAACAACACTATGTCATGTTTTTTTCCTACTAAGTAGGGTAAATCATTAATATAAACGAGAAAAAGGAATGGGCCGAGAATTGAGCCTTGCGGAACGCCCATTGATATCATCGACCCAGAAGAACTAGCACCATTAATTACAACTTTCTGAATTCTTTTACTTAAATATGATTTAACCAAATCAAGCGCGGTATTTTTAATGCCATAATGGCGTAATTGTATAAGCCTGGTGCATCAAAACATCCAAGGAATGCTAAATAAAGATCTTGAAATAGAGTTATTCCCCTTTTCTTGACGTTGACGTGAAAAACGTTTGAAAAATTCTAACCCATTTATAGTTTTGTTAAAACTAACTTTTTGTATAAATATTTAGATAACTTCTTTGTTTTCGAATGTACGTTATTTTTTTTAATTTGGCAACACTATTCATGTGTGAAACTTCTTTTATTTTCAACCGATGACATGCGCAAGCGCATACAGGTTAGAAAAATACAAAAAAAAATGTTTTTTTTATGTTTATTCTATGTACTTATTCGTAAAATTGTAAATTATAATTGTTTTTCTACTAAACGAATTAATTTGAAGTATAAATAATTATCTGGTGGATGGTCTTATTCACTTTTTAAATGGATGTATCTCGTCATGCACACTACCAAGTACCTTACAGTTTTATATTTATTTAGGATGTATCTCATGGTGCACACTGCTAACTACTGTACCAAATAATACAAAATCGTCCTATATATATATACACATGGACTCTGACAAGCCCATCGCAATCTAATTGTGAATTTTACAATATTTCTTTTCAAAAGCATGTCAATAATAAATCTTCGGATCCTTCACTTCCTTCTTCGCTTGAAAATGTTCAAATACTTTCTAACGATGAGTGTAATCTTGCCGCGCAAACAATACGAAATTAAAAAGGGGCACTTCGGGACCAGCACAACCAAGTAATGAAACCAATTCTGTTTCAAAGTTAGGTCCATCCTTAACGTACATCAAAAATACGTAACCATTTTTAAAGGCCCTCATTGATGCACAGATGTTGCCGCATAAGGGTAAACAGAACATTATCAGAATCTGGTCAAAAAACTACACCACTATGGTATAAAAGATGCCGTTCTCAATCTTCTAACATGGTACCTGAGCTATCGTGTTCAGAGAGTTGACGTGAAAGGGGTCTCCCGGGGCCGTCGTAAGAATGGGGGTTCCGCAGGGATCTATTCTGGGGACTTTTCTCTTATCATAAATTACCTGCCCTACTTTGTTAATAATGATCATGAGATAGTATTGTTTGCTGATGATACTTCTTTAATTTTTAAATTAAACGACATTCTTTAAATTATGACGAAGTTAACAAAACTCACTTCACTGTATAGCATTGGTTTAGTGCTTACCACTTAATGTTGAATATTAAAAAAATGAAATTTAATAAATTTACAACTGTCAACGTAAAAAGTGTAAAAACTGATGTACTTTTACATGGGGAAACTTGAGACCTAATTGACACGACTGTAATTCTTGGCATGACTGTAGATGCCAAATTGCAGTGGGTCACTAGCCAGTTTATTAATATCGGGGTATTAATAAACTGGCTAGTGACGTAGCTCAGCAGTCTTCGCGATTAAAAAAATTAAACAGTTGACTATTGTGGATACGGCTCGTCTGGTATATTTTATAGAAAAAGATATAGAGCTAAAGTCATCAGCTTGATTAAACAAGTTTGGTAAGCTCGAGAGTTATCTACGCAACCTTTCATCACAGACATAAGGACTGGTGAGCTTTCACAGCCACCAAATTCATTTTGTATCTATCGTTGTCGAATGCTTAACAAGGATTGGAATACCTCCCATCTTTCTTATTATCATAGAATATGGTTCTGCTGACAGGTACACTTTAGTTTCGATTTTATCACAACGTGTTTTATTGCATATCTATGATGCAGGCACGCTCGTCCATTCTGACTTTAACTTCGACTTTGATTTGAAATTAGTCGAGTATCTCATATTCCTGAACAATTACTTTAATTTTCAGTGGACTTCACGATTCCTTAACATCTGCAGTGGCCTCTTCCCATAATCTTAGTACCATACAATTTAATACTTATTGGAATGAGGTCTAGTTAGTCCTAGGTGAGCCTACGATCCAGAATTTGCGATCATGGTTCACGGTTATTACGAATGAGTTCGATCGTAAATGAACGGACTGTTAATTAGACAGATCCTGAAACTTCGGCCGATTTCGAGATCAGAACTCATTTTGAAAATGAGTCTAAGATTACTTTTACGTGCTACTTGGCATTGTAGCTACTTGCCAATTTACCACTCATGTAACGTATTATATATACTATTGTAATTATTGTAAAGTTTAATTTGAATTCATTCAGTAGTTTTTGCGTCAAAGAGTAACAAGCATCCATACATACAAACTTTCCCGTTTATATTTTTAGAAAGGGTTTCAAGTTCTACTTCCATTACCATAATATAAAGTGGGTAAATATTTAGATATTATATAAAACTTATTTTGTTCGCATATTCACAATCAACATAGAGCATTATATGCAGTCAAGACTTAAAGATTTGGGTGGTGGACGGGTAGTATAGTTCGAGTTTATTATCCATTGTATCGAGTTCAGATTCGGGGTGGGACGTTATTGACGATGAAGGCTATCGAAAAATATACACACGTCCGTCTAGCAGCACGCCACAGCGCTGACTGTTTCGCCGCGTGGAAATGAAAGAGATAAAAGAACCGAAAGGGCGAAACAACAATACCAAAACTCCGATCCCACGACGATTGATTTAGTTTTAATGGATTAAATTAAGAATCAGAAATCAACATTCTATTAAAATATTTTACATTATCGACAAATATTTTATCTAAATGTATTCAAGTATATTTTTGATTTATTTTTTCAACCATAAAGGTTATATTTAATACAGTTTATTGATATAATATTTACAAGATTTAATCTATTTAAAATTACATATGTTACATGGATTAGGTTTATTAGATAAGATTTAATTAAATATATAATATGATATAATTTTTTTTTCATTATCTGCATGATGAGTTTCATTTTTTATAACTCCCATATTTAGTTTAGTATTTAGTAGTCCATAGTAGTTAAATTAATATCTAGTCCCTAGGTATCTGAGAATATACAGCGTTTCGTTACCATCGCGACAATAAATGAACACACGTCTAACGCTACATGCCAATAATCATAAAAAAATATTAACGTTAAACAAAATCCATAATTAAAAAAAAATATTTTTCAAACAAACTAATTAAGTTAAAAAGAAACAAAATTTGTAACATCCTATACAACTCACGCCACAGCGTCGCAATACAAGCCTCTCCTTCTAACAGTATGTTTTGTCTCTTTTAAATTCATTCAACCCATTCATACGCTTTGTGACCTTTACAAATGAACTGTAGGTTACAGTTTTATACGTAAGGGTGTTCTAAAATTGTTTGTTTTGGAAAATTTAATAACTCTGTAAATATTGATGTTTGAAGAATGTAAATGTTTAATACAATTTTAAAAAGTTATTCTCTATATGTGTGTTCATTTATTATCGCGGTGGTAACGACACGCTGTGTACTCGTGTCGTTAAACCTATTGAAAATAAAAGTATCAATGAATACGATTTTTTCCCATTATTTAGGTAAACTGTTATAATTTAATATCATCAGTTTACGCAAAGTATTTCGATAAGAATTTATATTTTTTTAAATAATCATTAACAATAATTTTGGCCCGTGATGTAATTGTCGTGACAGTAAAAATGACAGTCGTAGCGTAGACATAAAACTAGCTGATAACCAGTAACTGATACTATTTATATACATACATTGTGACATTTCAATTCTTTTTATTAATATAACTAGGATATAGTAGATATAAATTATGCCTAGTACTATATATTTTTGTTGATTGAAGAGTAATTACTTATTTTTGAATCTTGAAACGCCAAGCATTCACTTTCGACGATTGTTTCTTTGAGAAAAAACCATGTCAGTTTCCAATTCGAGGCTAGTTATTTTCATTACCACTAACAAATCAAGGGTTTTGTATTAAAATGAAACGACATCGTGTTGAGTCAGAACTCTTTATTAAAGAATATCTATGAATTCAATGCGAGAAATCTTACTAACGTAACATTTTATTCAAAAAATCGATATACAAAACATGACCGTTGTATGGATAGCAACAGTAGATACTCAGTACGGAGAGCAAGGAGACCCCCGAGTTCCGAAACGGGCATGTGATTTGCTCTTTTTTGAATTTCCAAACGAACCGCAGGGTAGACGACTCCGGGGTTGATTTGAAGCTATTGTAATGCTCAGATGCTTCCACTTCAATAGGCTTGCGTCGCGATTTCCTCCCCTCAACATGCACCCCTCCCCCCTCCCAGAATCAACCCCCTATCCCTCGATCGCTGCGCGTGCGCGTCCGGGCTGGTAGCGTCACTCTGAAAAGGTCTGCTCTTAAAATTGATTAAACCGTAGACTATAAATGTATTAGAGAAGCGCAAATGGATCAATGAAAACAAAGCAACGAAAATATTTATTTCATAATTACCTTGCATGACGGATGTAAAATTTTAAGGAAATTTCTTCCACACTTTTTATATTATACGTCGTCTTAGATCAACTTCCTACAGCACAAAGAAAGAACCCCAAAAAAATTATCTTTATGCGTTCTGTTTCGGAAGTAGACGCGACATTACACTGCATCAATTTGTTCGTATGTCAATTATTTAAGATCATACCTCACGCGCAATAAGCAAAAGCATTTTGCTTTTAAATCAAAAAAGAATTTGTATTTATACATTACATTCGTATAAAATTATTATTTCCCCAAAATTAATTTTTGTCAAACAAAGAAAATGTTACGCAGCGACTGATTTTGGCCAGCGGTGTAATAGGGCAGGTACAAACCACCGCCCTTAAATTACGCATCTCGATCACACGTCTTTTGTTGATATTTAATTCGTTCGTTACCGTTTTTTAGATTGCATCGCGGCATATCAGCTGCGCGAACATTGATGTTGTTCGATATATCGGTAACGTGTGAAAAAACTGGATGCGACAGACTGCAGCACCCAATATGCGACGTGCGCACAAGGAACACGCAATACAAGGAACCACATCGACCGAGTTGTGGCGGTTGGGTTGACGTGTTAAATCGATCGATACGTAAAAGAGGGGCCGTGATCTAGACCAGCTTTTCGGTCTTACCTTTGAGTTGCCCATGTCGCGTGCCGGCAGGCCAGGCTCGTGGGGATCAGTATTCGACGGTAGGGAGCGACGCATGACGGACACATGCGCGCGTCACCGACTCGCGATTGGTAATGGACGAGAATCGAGCGTCGTCGGAACCCCGGCGATGACGCCAGACGCCACACGCATGCGCATCTCCACGCCACGCTACTCGGAAAAGCAAGGGGTGGACCAAACGGGGACGCTAACGAGGGGGACTGTTTCCAAGCGAAGGTGGTTAAAGGGTGGCGTCGAGAAGTTCTGGAAATTTCCACCGTCACCCCCCGCAGTAACTCCCTTCCAGTACGGCGTCAACGCGGAGACGGTTTTGCGTACGTCCAAGCGCGTCCCATTCCCCTCCGATCGGTTATCGACTAAATTACAAACAAAACGACGCGCGCGTAGTCTAGACATGGAGCGAACAAAGGAATAAATAATTTTACGCTGTTCTGATACTTAATAACTGTACTAAACTGCTTTTGTAAGTAATCTATTTACAAGTCACATATTATGAAATTGCACGCATACCAGGGAGAAGAACGTGGTGAGCAGAGACTTTCACCGATCGTCAAAAATTAAATGACGCTGGTATAGATCACGGCGTTAAATAGGAAGTCCACAAGCGCCAAACCATTACAGGGCTTAAGTTAGCGATAAGTGTAATACTTTGAGAATAAAGGATTTTTTTATTATTATGCGCCTTAATCACAAACTTTTACATTTTTTCCATGTAATCATTTAGCTAAATTGAAACACTATCGTCATTAAATGGAAAGGCGTTTGTTACTGTTTTATATATTATGACGTTATGACGTCGGTCATTGGTTCTATTTAGGCCTATAAACGGGCTGGCAGACAAACAGATATTACAACGAGTTTCGTGTGCAAAGCGGCAGAAAGAAAAATACATGCAGCAACTTTTAATATCAGGAAATTATATGACTCAAATGTAATTTAAAAGAATTTCACTTAATAATTTGACTCATGAGGATCATAAACATTTTCATGAGTTTCTTTATATGACTCGCTACTCTCTCTCATTTTCTGATACTATATTTTTTATTTTCACGAATCATGTCGAAATTGTTTAAGGTTAAAAGACTGGAGGCGCTGAACGATACTCAATTTGTCAAAAACCAAATGTCTGTCGCGCTTAAGACGTACTCGTATTGCCCTTACGTCGTTTCTGGCGAGTTTTTGCTTCTATCGCTTCTGACAGTTATTATTTTTAAACAAAATATTACCTTGAACAAGGGAGTGATTTCTTCCGACAATATTGACCACTGGTAGTAATTTATCGACCAATAGAGAAACGATTACTTTTCATATATTATTAGACGTATGTACTTTTAAATTTCTTACATATTATGTTAAATATTAGGTTTTTTTTTTATATTGTCAAATACGTCATATAACAAAAATGTCAGCTCCTTATTTTATTCCTTAGCGAAATACCAAGCATTGATCTTTCCATAGGTCGCTGAGCGACGAGTGGGCATGTTTCACTGTCATATATAATTATGTTCCAAGTCTCGGTTATTAACAGATTTCGTAAAAAAACAATTTCGCAGTTAGATAAGTTGTGAAGTACCTATGCAATATATGGCGTTTAATGGTTAATATTAAAGTTATAGTATCCTGTAACCCTGTCATTTCAAGTATCTATGTATATTTCAGTATCATAAGGATATATTAATTTCCCATTTTTAAACATTAAGGTTATTTATCATAAGACTGCCAAGTTAAAAACAGTTTTGATACCATAAACATTGAATTTATATTGAAATAAAAAAAAATTAAATTGCATTCGAAAGTGCACATTGTTTCTTTTAACCCCGTTTTACTGTGCAGAGCTCATTGTTAACTAAATGTGATATATTGCATTAATTTGTCATTTTTTTATGAATTGGCGGCAATTCCAATGATTCTTTTGAAATGTTATTAAGGTGGAAAACATTTCTGGCATTAGTTCTATACCTTACTATGGAAACATAAATTAGAGTTACTTCAGAAAATTTCAAAACATCTTCATCTCGGAGACAAATGTAATACTAAAATACATTTGTTCTGGAGATATTGACATTAAATCAATGTATAATATTGTTTTTTGAGATTGGAAAAACAAAAATACGAGATTGTTAAATCAAAATTTATTTTCATCTGCAAATTTCTTATTTTAAAGGAAATTAAGGAAACTTTTTGTTAATAATACTTTTGAAATGCGGGGTGGTTGCTATGTTGTGTAGGGAAGTATCACTTAAAAAATTAATGATGGGCATAAAGCACAAGACAAAGAAAATTGTTAATGACATTTGTTGTTGCCTGTTACTAAATATTTTTAAATTTCGAAACGTGCCATCGTGGAGTAATTTATTGTACTACCACCCCTTAAAAGGAAAAGTTCCGTTTCGCCCCCTTTTAAGGTTTTTGAAGTAACACTTTTTTGGGCGTGTTATGAAACATGATGAGAGTGAAGTTCTAAGATACAACACAATAGTTATTTTGAAGCTTCCCGCTATACCGCTAGATGGCAGCATTTTCTCAATCACATTCGCCCGATACAGTTCTCACAAAGAATGTAGATGGCGCTTTCATAATTTTATTCTTCAAGTGCTCCAACATAATTGAGATTTAACTATCCGTATTTATTATTGATAAAATTAAAATATTATTATTTAATATAATTTAACATAAACTAATATTTAATATAATTAATAGCAAATATTATTTATGTTAAATATTTGTTTTTGGTTATTTAATATTTACAAAATATATTTTAATAACTTTTTGATTACAATGAAAAGTGAATATTAAATTAGGAAAATAATAAATATTTAAAATTCAGGATTTAAATTGATTTATTTATTTTCTAATCTAATCTTTCAAAAAGTTAAATTCAAATTTCGAATATATTATTAAATTTATTTACTTTTAAAATATTAAATCATCAATAATAAATACTTAAAAGTTAAAAGTAAGAATTAAGTTAAAAGTAAGAACTTTTAGGTTAAAAGTAAGAATCTTAAAATATTTAGTACAAAGTAAACCTGTAAGTAGTACATTTATTATTTTAATGATACCAAAAAATTACTTTATACTTCTCATTCGGGTACATAAGTACAAACACTCTTTTTTTTTTATTTTTAATTCTGAGGAATATTCCTCATTTTTCGGAGGACTGATTAATATCTATTTTTTATCGCAGGTATATAAAGTTATTAATATAATAGGAAAAAGCATATATTTCAAACGTTCGAAACGTTAAATGGCGAGTGGCGAGAATTCTATATAATCTGTCATGGATGAATGATACGTAGTGAAATGAAAACTGGTAATCTGTCGTAGGGAAAAGGGATCTTAAATATGATAAGACATATAAACATAACACACCAAGACATATAAAGATAACATGATATACCAAGTTCAAAATAAATTGTGTGTATGTGCATGTATTTGAGTCCCCTGGATGGTATGATTTCTTTCACAATTTGACCTGGCAGGTTAACCCTAACATCAATAAATAACCAACCAATCAGGAACTTTCTTACTTCTTCGTAAGAGCACAGCATGTGGTATCCCGGTTCTGATACCCAGAATGAGAGTGAAACACTGCTCTTAGGCATTAAGTCAGTTGGTGTCTCTTGGATTCATGGCCTGTATGCATGAAATAAAATGCAATACAAATAATAATAACTGGTTTACAGACTACAGACCCTGAGTACTACGCCATGACAAACGTGTGCTTCAACACGTTTACTTTTCTTTAGGTTGGGTGTAAATATATATTGTCACTGGAAAGGCAAAAGTACACGCCAAACGTTTGTTTGGCAGTTAAGTAATTTTACCTCTCCTATATATACATATTTAAGATTGTTTTTAGAACAGGAGTATACATTTGTCATAGTTAATCCTGTATGCCAGTTATCATGTTACCATTACTAAAAGTTTCACTCAGTTCGGTATCAGATGACCATGTGTAAAGAATGTCCCTGAAGGTTCTTATATAGTTAATATAAAATTATTAAATTACATTTATTTTCATTACAGAATGTGGAACCTTTTACCTGAGAGTTTTTAGTGTGAAAGGAAGCTTCATCACATTTCAAAAAGGTTATTATAGAGTATAAAAAGTTTATAGAGCATCTATAAATATAGTTACCACATCACTGTTTACGGAATGAAATTCTTCCGATTATAAAGTGAGAAGTAATAGTTGAGGAGTGTACCCTCATTGACAAGTTGGGTAAACACCATAGAAGGTTTCAGAGCAATATTTATGAAATCCAAAGATACAAGTTCTTTATTGCTATAATCAGGATGCATTGGAGAACTTTTTTGGAGTGGTGTGAGATTGAAGGGCATACAAAAGATTATTAATAAATAATATTTCCTCATCACATTCAATTGTAAGAAAAATGACAGTGTTTGTCTCCAATATTAAATTTTAAGTAGTTTTTAATAAAGATGAGGAGAACATCAAAGAATATCATGTGATAGAAGAAAATCATTTAATAATAGACTTTACAGACACTTAATAATTATTACAGGGTCAATCTCCAATGCAGATAGAAGCGTAGCATTAGGATATTGCAGTGGATAGATAGCACAACTCGCAAAGAAAAATACAACTATTTAAAAAATGTTTACATGCAAAATGATTTAGAAACTCATGTGGAACAGACTTAACAAATTTATAAAGCTTAAAGAATGTAGTCACAGAAAATGGTTGTGCTATCCATCAAGATCATTGTTTCATGTCTTTGCCCAGGGCCGGATTTAGGGGAGGGCAACCGGGGCAACAGCCCCGGGGCTTTGCCCATGAACCGCTAACCGGTAACAATAGAAGTATTAAAGAAAAATTGCAATAAAAAATACATTTCTGAGTATTTTAATATAGTGGAGTATATTCTGAGTATAATATTATTATTATAATTGATAATAAGTACTAATTTAGATTTATATTTTCCAAGTTGGTCACATCATAAAGTAATCTTAATAATTTACCCAATAAAAGTACAATTTTTTTTATTCACAACTGGTGTAAAGATGTCAATTGTGTCGTAAGAAGGAAAAAAAAATAGATAAAAAGAAATATTGATAAATGTTTAATTATTTATAAGTTCATAGTTTTATAAAAATGTATGTAATTCTTTGTTGAAAAGACAAATGATAGCAGACTGTATGTAACCTCATGTGATGAGACAGATAAATAACTAAATTATGTTTTTACTAGCTTTTCGCCCGCGGCATCGCTCGCGTTGAAGCCCTTAAATAAATATCTTTCTTTAAAATATACATATAATTTAAACTTTTCAATTAAGAAATAGCCTATGTCCTTTCTCTGGCTCTAGACTATCTGGGTACCATAATTCATTTGAATCGGTTCAGTAGATTTGGCGTGAAAGCGAGGCAGACAGACAGAGTTACTTT